ACAAATCTCGACGGCAAAGTACAAACCGATAAAGAGATGCGCAAGCATGGCAACATGCTGCCGGCCTCTATATGCGCGATCGTCTGCGGACCGTCAAATTGCGGCAAGACGAACGTGTTGATAAGCCTATTGGGAAGTCCGCACGGTGTAAGATTCGAGAACGTGTTCGTGTCGAACTCGAAATCGCTGCAATATCGATACCTGGCGAATCTGCTAGCTCCTATCGAAGAAATTGACTATTTTACGTTCTCCAATAACAGCGACGTCATTCCACCGAGCGAGGCGTTTCAGAATTCCATCTTTGATGACGTGGCTGCGACAAGCAGGACGCGTTAAGAGAGTACTTTGCAATGGGACAGCACGCGGACGTCGATTGCTTCTATCTCTGCCAGACGTATGTAAAGATACCCAAGCACCTTATCCGCGACAATGCATATCTATTGATCCTGTTGAAACAGGATGGTACCAATCTGAAACGCGTGTACAACGATCGCGTGAATACCGACATGCCGTAAGAGAATTTCTGCGATTTATGTCGTAAATATTGGCAGCATAAGTATGGATTTCTAGTAATTGACAAGGACAGTGCGCTTACCGATGGGCGATACAGAAAAGGATTTAATGACTTTGCAACACCGTGATGCAATCATTTGATATCGATACGTTGACATGGACAACAGCAAAGATCATGAGAAGGTAGCGAAGGAGATTGCGAAAACGAGTGATTCGATTCGCAAAAAGTACCGCGCTTTGAAGACTGGTAAAATGGATGAGGACATCGCATTGGAGAGACACTTCAAACCTATTATCGACCCGTTGAAACATATTGTCGAAAACACAGCTGACTCCTCCAAGGATCCTATCATGATCGAAACAATCTTTTCGGAGGAAGACGAGGAACCAAAACCCAAAAGGAAACGACCGAGTGCTTTGTACGATAATCCTATACAGGCTTCCACGCTTGTAAAGTTAATGTTGAATCGATCGAAAACCGTACTATCCGCTTTGAACGAAATGTCTGAAATAATACAGCCGCATGAGTTATCGCACGACCATGTTCCCTCCGTCGAAGAAATTTTCGAGGTTACCGATGAATAGCTCGTGACATCTATTCGACACCAGCTTCAAACATCCGAGGGTCAAGAAAAGTTGCAAACAAACTATGGTCCGTTAGTACAGAAATATATGAAAGCGGTCCTGAGCGGTAAGAAAGCCGTCAACATAGACGTTGTGTATGGAGTTTATTTCAGTGACGAGGGAACATGCTCGGCGACAAACTTATCACCTTGCACAAAAACGATGATATAATTATAGATGGGAAAAGATATGATGGAACAGTGGTCCTGTACGAGTTAATTTTCATGAAATTTCCCAACGAAAGTATCTGTACGGATGATAACGTACGCACCTACAGAAGCATTCTGCTGACGACAAACGTTCATAGACGCGGTCATAGCCCGAGTAATTAAGTAATGGGTAGTAAGGGATACAAGTATAAGAACATAATATAAATGTGTCATCTGGCGTTGATATCGTGGAGACTTTTACATGCCATGCGTTTTCCATCAGTGATCACTGTGCGGTATGTGCTGTGCTGCGCTTGCGGAACCGTTGCGTCGATCGCGAGTCTTTTTATATCGCAATTTAAAATCTATTTCGCCCGGTGATATTGAGGCTGAACTTGCCAGATTCGATTGGTCGCCTATCTTTAACTTTACTTGCGTCGACGAGATGGTCTTTTTTTTCGAGTCTGCGTTGCTTACCGTTTTCGATCGCCTTGCGCCGATTTCTTGCGGTCGCTCATCTAGGCCTCCTGCCCCGTGGATAAACGCTGCAGTGAGAAAATTGAACGCTCTTAAATCTCGAGCGCTAAATAGATTTCGGAGTACTCGATCCAATGTCGACTGGACCCGATATAAGGATATTCTTAACGCCACTGCTGCGACTGTTCGTCGGGAAAAAAAGGCATTCATCTCCTTACCCCTTTCCTCCAATTCCCCTCGGCATTTTTGGCGCAGTATCTCTCTTCTTGGTGCAATCTCCTCGGCTTCCCCATTAATTCCGAACCACCTACTTAATTCATCTCTTCTTAACAATTGTTTTATAGACTCTCTTCCTAGCCCCCTCTCCAGTTCCCCTTCATCCCCTCTACTCACTTCTCCTACAGATCCTGACAATTCTGATTCCTTTTCTTTCACTCCTATTACTGGTACTTGCCTCTATAATATCCTAAAGCATATAAAACTTACTTCCGCTGGTCCCTACGACATATCTGGTCATATGTGCTCCTTCTATGTCTTCCACAAAATCTTGCTCCTTTACTACATGTACTTAATTATTCTTTGTCCTCTAATACTTTCCCCACAGCCTGGAAGAAATCAGTGGTGATTCCCATCCCTAAAACCAATAACCCCTCTTCCCCCTCCTCCTTTCGTCCTATATCTATCCCTCCTTTTTTGTCTAAGTTATTGGAACGTGTATGTTTTAACCAACTAAATGATTTCCTCAAGAAATCCAATGCAATTCCTGAATGTCAGTCCGGTTTTCGCAATTCTTACAGCACCACTACCGAGTTGCTACACTTGTCTAATGCGGTGTTGAATAGTTTTGACTCGGGAAAATTAGCATCTATTATCGCTCTTGATTAACATTCGACACAGTGTGACGTTCTGCGTATCACGCCTCACTTAAATTTATTCTTTTACCTAGATGTTAACCAGCATTTACACGTGTATCCTGTATCTTACACGTATTTTCATTTACATATACTATACTTACATATACTATATATACTATGCCTACTTACATATACTATACCTACTTACATATACTGTACTTATATATACTACATTACACTTATAGCGTTTTCGATTGGGGTGCACTGGCTGCACTCAGTGTCAAGAGCGTGTTCGATTGGCAGTGCCAATGCGCACTTGGCTA